CTCTGCGACTGCCTGGCCTCTTGACTGATTTCTTCTAGCCTGCAGAGGGTACAGAGATCCTGCGTGCACTAACAAAATCAGGGTAATTAACATTTCCATCTCCTGTGTTGTATCCCTCAAGCTCCTCTCCTCTAATTATTCTAAGATGTATAATAAATTGTTGTGAACTATGACCAACCTACTGTGAATGCTGTAGATCTTACTCTTCCTATGTAGTTACTCTGAGATATGCTTTTCCCCTTCTTGTGCCTTCCCAGCTTCCAAAGATCATAGTTAACATGCTCTATCTCTATGAGATCAACATTTTTGCTTCCACATATGCCTGAAAATATGAAGCATTTGTATTTCTGTGCCTGGTTTATGTCACTTACCACAATGTCCTCCGAAAGTATAGAATGCTTCTCAGATGTATGTGGATCCTGTGTAGGAGCCACACCAAACTCTGTGCAGTTCCAGTATTAATATATGTGCTGAAGAAGCATTGTGGACTATGGTGAGATTTTTATTGAGTGGAAAATAGGACTGGTTTTTCCCTAGGTTGGAAAAGGAATTTATGAAACAAATTATATTTAATTATGAAACAAATAGTTTTATTTCTCACACACATAGAATGTGATTTCTTGTGTAACATTTCCTCGGGAAATTTGTAAGTCATTGTTCCCAGAGCCAGTTTTCCAAAAATGATAGAGGGAACTGTGAACTCAAAGAAACAAGTAAGACATTTTTATAAGGAATCTGCTAGAGCTAAGTGGGAAACATAGCTCTGAGCAAAAGCAAGTCAGACCTGTGACTCCTGAACCAAGGGAAAGAGGTGCTTTGTGTAGGAGAAATTCCCACCTTATTTCCCATCCAGATTATCTGATGCAAATAAGGAAATCAAACTGAGGCAGGAAAACCAGTTCTAATTGGTCAGTACCAGGCTCCTCATGCAAATAAGAAATTCAAATTTGCAGAGAAAGTCCTGACTAGTTAATATCTACTTAGGCTGTGTTGTATGTAGCTCAAAGATCACCTTTGCTTGTCAGGGTAAAGCTGATTTTAAGACCCTATCAATGTGAGCAGGAGGTTGTGCTTCACTTGAGGGCTGCATGTGAATCCTAGATCCTTGCTTGAATTTTCCCTTGAAAGCACAAAACAGATATAATCCCTGAGGTGGCCCATGGTTCTACTTCTGTCATGAGTGATTTCCAACTGTCTTATCAATATGGCTTTGGCTCTTCATCATCACAAGTCAAGTAGGCTGCCCAGGCTGCTGAATATCTTCCTCTAGACTTTTCAGAGCCTCCTCACCTGTTCTCTCCAAAACGAGTTTGCAGATAGGAATAAAAGCAGTTTGAAATCATCTTCCTTTAGTATAGTCTTGTTTGTGATCATTTGGGCAAATGCCCAAAATTGGGATTGCTGGGTCATAGGGGAGCTCTATGTGGAGTCTTTTGAAGAACCTCCATACTGCTTTCCAAAGTGGTTGAACAAGTTTACACTCCCACCAACAGTGCAATAGGGTTCCCTTCTGTCCACATCCCCTCTAGCATCTGTTGTTATTAGAGTTTGTGATTATAGCCATTCTAACTGGGGTGAGGTGGTATCTCAATGTTGTTTTGATTTACATTTCTTTTATGGCTCGGGAAGTTGAACATTTCTTCATGTGTCTATTGGCCATCCTTCTTTCCTCTTGAGAGAAGTTTCTCTTTAAGTCTTTAGCCCACTTATTTAGCCCAGTTGTTTCTTTGATGATTTGTTGTTGGGGGATTTAATTTTTTGAGTTCCAGGTATATCTTAGATATGAGACCCTTGTCTGTTGTATGGCTAGTGAAGATCTCCCAACCCATGGGCTTTCTATTGATCTTGCTAGCTATGTCCTTTGCCATGCAGAAGCTCTGTAATTTCATGTAATCCCATTTGTCTAACCTTTTTTTGATTTGTTGTGTTTCTGGGTCTCTATTAAGAAAATTTTGGCCTGTGCCAAGGAGACCTAGGGTTTCTCCTATTCCATCCTGTAATGTTTTCAGAGTGACTGTTTTGCCTCCAAGGTCTTTGATC